TTCGACGTTATAGCTTGCGTGCAACAACGCTGCTGGTTTTCGAGAAAGACGTTGGGGGGTCTTGGTACCTAAAGGGGTAGTAGCGACGAAGAGGACATACAGTAATACTCGTTTGCGAAGCGCCGCGAAGACTCGTGTCTGCAACCTCCGAGAGGTGACGGTAATAAATGCAATCCAAGGTCAGTCCCCAGTCTTGTGCTCGACTCGAGTACAGGTGAAAGCAGTTGCAACCGTCTGGTGCAACACAAATGGGTTCGCGATCACACCGCCCAACTCGGCAGCCAAGACTCTTCACGGTGGACGGCACTGCCACGCCCGCTCAATGACGACGCTCCCACCGCCCAGTCTTTCCAGAAGCGCTCTAGATCCGTGGGAGCATGAGCAAGGAAGACGCTGCCCAATACCTCTGCGCGCACTCGTATTCCCCGGACAGCATCTCGCCAAAGCGGTGGTGGCGCTCAATTCCGCCTCACATTTTCATTTTCCAGATCGTCTGACGATGTCGCTGCTTCCCATCTCATGAACAATTACGGTGATCGTACGCGTGTGCTTGGTCCGCAAACGTCAGAGGCGAGCCGTTGGATGGAGGACGCAGCCAGACACGCCTGCAAGGACTGCCTTGTCCAAGTCAGAAATCGCAAACTGCTAGGTGGGTTTGCCTCTACCAGTTCATCGACATCCGTAACCTTGTACCAGCGTCGTCTCGTCATTCTTGTCGCGGTATAACGTATCTGGTTTGCGATGTCGACGAGATTAGCAGCAGCAACCACCACCCTGCATCGCGACCGCCAGAAACCCGCGGCGTCAGGTTCATGCCAACCAGCTGTACTCGTTTAGTGCAATATTGCGTCGGGTCGCCTCTTGTCCGGATATGTATTTTCTTCGAAAACGGCCAAGCGTCCATCCTACAGCCACCTTGGATCCCAGTCAGTCAGTGGTGAGTGCGACGCCTCGCTTGCCCGCAACCATCTTTCGATGCACAAACAGGAGAATTGCCATAACTCTATACGTACCGTAGCACTTGATCCACGTCCAAGATGAAGAGATGACGATGGGCGTTGTGTTTCCGAAATGCCGGTTTCCTGTCAAGTGCTGAAACCGCCGCGCCTCGTCAAGTGTGTCAGGGTGCTCTCATGCCAGCAGCCAGGCACCAATCGTGAGGTCGACGCCTCCTACCTAGTCCCTCGTCGTCTCTATGGTGATCTGAGGTGTGACTCTACCGATCCTCTGCCTTTACCTAGTCGTCCGAGCTTTTGGCCCTCAAGTGTTAGCACGACGCCGTGGCAAGCTGATCCATCGGGGATCGCGCTGCCCCCTGTGAATGTATGTGTGCGAGGACGCCGTCCGAGAACTAGGACCAACCAGATCATATTGTTTGAGAATTCCAAGCTCATAGTGCAACATCACTCCAGGTCTCGACGCTGATGTAGGTACGTTTTGGAGCACACGGCGCCGACGAAATGGTGTGCGGACCTTGTCTGTTGTATCAATCAAAGGTTTAGCAGGGAGCGCGTCGTTCTTGTCGCGGGAGAAGATGCAGTCGCTACGCATCCCAAGACGCCGCACGCAACGGGATGCCATCTGCAGCGCTCGCCTTGCACGCGCACGGCGAGAGCCACTCTCTTCTGCGATCTCTCGTGCAAGCTTGGCCCGAGAAAGACACTCTAGAGTACGTGGCGAAGAGGAAATTTGAGCTGACGAGTTGTCATTTGCCTGATGATTGCTGATATCTTCGCATAGACGCACGCTGTGATGAGCGGGGTAGGGTGGGTCCCAATCTGAACCACGCAGATCGTCGAGCGAGATCGACGTCTGGACGACAAGATGCTCTCTACGAGCGATCTGACCGTAGAGCTATCGATTAGCCGACTTGCGATGTCCTTATTGACGCTTCAAAGGACTAGGGTACTGTGGACTGGTCCTCGCATTGCAGTCGTGCACCCAGAGCGCAAGTACCAAGGCTACATCACCTAAGGGTCTAATGTGCCATGAAAGATAGCTCGGTTTGGCTGCCACGGAGCCCAAGTTGAGGCACCGACAATGAGCTGCGACGAGAGAAGCGACTTCCAGGAACTAGCGACACGGCAACGACCGCAACGTAGCTTGTCGCTGGACTGCACGGGTGTAGTATCAGCACTGCAGTGTCAAGAGTACGGAGGGTATGCGCCTTCGCGAGCAACACGCGATGCGGCTGTTTCAAACGGATGGGTTCCATCGATTACCGGTGCCTCAGGCATTCGATATTCTGGGCGTGTCGCAAGGTGTGGCTGCCGCACTCGCACCTGGTGAAGACTCTGCTCTCTCTCTCTGGTACCAAAGGTACTAACGCCGTGGGAGGCGTCTCCAGCCACGTCAGTCGGAGGACGGAGCCAATCGCGCCAGTGCGACCGCACTCAACAAATCGGTGGCCAGTCGTCCAGCAGCTGTGGTGCCTGGCGGAGATGACGAGACTTCGAGCCTT